ATAAAAAAGCGTTTAATTTATTGATGCAAATTATTTATCATTATTTTATTGATATAATTTATTTTATTCTTTTTTATTTTATTCATTTTTATTTATATGTATTATTTATTATCAGTGTTTATTATATAGTCATTTATAGATGTTATATGATTAGTATATATTATGTAATATATGATAAATAATAAATATTAATTTCATATATATAGATAGAAGAATAAAAATTAAATGTATAATAATAAATAATAAAGAAATAAAAAGAGAAAAGAAATGATATAATAATAAATAAAATAATAAATAAAATCAATATAATATAAATAAAATAATAATAAATATAAAAAGAAAATTGATATAAATTATAAAAATATAATCAAAATGAAAATAAGATAATGAAATATATTAATATATAATAAATTATATATAAATAGAAGTGTATTAATATATAAAATAAAATATACATAATAAGAATATAAAACTAATAAAATATGATAAATATAAAATATATAGATAATATGATGATATATATAATATAATAATAAAAATAAATATAATAATAAATAACATAATAATAACATAATAATAAAAATGTATACTTACATTGAATTAAATATCATTTCTGAATCATTTATATTTCAGAACAATTGATCATAAAATGATATAAAATATAAACAAATATAAATGAATATGAAATGAGTATTTAATTTACATTTTTATTTTTTATTTTTTTAAGAATAAAATAATAAAAATTAATTTATTTTATTGATTCAAAATATTTTGCCATTTTGTTTTTGGTATTTTTATTTAGATTCATTATTTCTTTGCTTATTTTGGTTCCCTTTTCAAACAAAAAGAAGAAAAGGATATATAAGAAACAATGAACTGAAATAAATAGAAATGAACAAGAATCAACAAATATCATTTTTATTTCATATTTCAATAATGATAATTAAATAAGAATTAACAAGTTATTTGATAGTAATTCATTCTATTATTCTTAATTATTATACACTTTAAATCTATTTGATGTTTCAAATTATATAATTCTCTATCAACTTATTCATTTTCTAATTATATTTCTATTATACATTGAAATTTCATTTATTCATATTGATAATTGTTTTATATTTCATTATATTTATCTACAATATCACTAATAACAGAAACAAATAGAAAATAAACAAGTTAATTCATTCTGTTTATGAAATTATAGATGATTATTTAAATTATCAGATATTTTGATTTAGATTTATTATATAACATAATAGTTTTAAGAATTTATCAAATGAATAAATAACAATAATAATTGAATATTTATACAATTTGTTAAATTAACAATATAATTTATTAATTGTTGATATTAAATATTGTATTATGAAACAATAATAAATCAATGTTATATTGTTTTATTCAATATGATTTATAGTTATTTAATTGTTTATTTAATTGTTTATTAACAATTTTTAATTTTCTGTTGAAACATATTATACACATTTCAAACAAATTTGAACATTTAAATACTATAATTATTAATGTTTTATTATTTTGTTTGAGAATAAGAATATTATTCATTCATAAAGAAAAATACATTCACATTATCTTAAAATTGTTTATTCTATGTTATTTGATACAAATAATTCAAATTTAATTGACTTAGTATTCAAATAAATATTCAATTTATCATTTTTATTTAATAATTGTTTATTTTTAAATATTGGATATTCTATTTTCATTGTTAATCTTTTGTTGTTTTATTTCTTTTTGTTTCATAGATCAATTTCAAATATCATCATTTCTTATTA